AAAAAAAAAAACCTTAAATTAAAAAAAGAGAGAGAGAGAGAGAGAGAAATCGGTAGAGGACAGGGCAGGGCACCCAGGCTCCGTCTGAGCACACAGACTGTGATGGAGTTCCTGTGGGCCCAGAAGGTAAGTGGAAGTGGGGGGTGGCCACACCTCCCTTCCTCCATTCACTAAGCGGGTGTGGGGTATAAGAGTAACAAGGGGAATGTCATACCTTCTTGCAGGTCTCGAGTGTCCTTGGCGTTGCTGGAAAGCAGAACGTGTTCTTAAGCCCCAGGAATCTGTGTGAGCGCTGTCTCTTTAAATAGCCAAAATAGTCAAGCCGCTTTTTAAACCTTCAAAATTGTGGCACTCTCCGGACTGGCAAAAGTCCACAGCTCAACCCACCTTTCTCTTCACCTTCTCCATTTGTTCCCCAGTGACCATGCACAGTCCTCCGTGCCGTCCCTGGCTAGCAGGGTGATTTTTAGGTTAATTCTTAGGTCCTACCACCACTCTGGAATCTCAAAGCTGTGTGTGCCGTCAGGATTGCTCAGGATCACCACCAGACCGCAGCTCTGTATGTCTCCTTTTTTTGGTATTTTCATGCAAATTCTTCTGCTAGTTGGGGTTTAGTTCACGTCTATATCCTTCCTTTCAAGGCTCAGGGGTCCAGGATTATCTTCTGTGTCTGTGTTAATTGGTTTCCCTTTTCTTTGTTGAAGAGGGTCTGTGCAGTCTTTCTGCCTAGTCCGCCATCTTGCAGGTCCCCATGCAAGTCTTCTTTTATTATTATTTTTAACATTTTTCTTTGTACAAATATGAGGATGTTTCTCTAGGACAGATACTGAGAAGTGGTATTGTTAGGTCACAGGCTATGAATATTTTAAGTTTTGAATACCTTCCAAGATGCTGTGCCAACTTACATTCCCACTAGCAGGGTGTGAGTATACTCTTTTTCCCCTCACCCTTATAACATATGTCATTGTCAAACTTTAAAAATTTACTAAATTGGGTGGAAATGGCGTCTTATTGTTTTATTTTGAGATTTCTTTGACTAATAGGGAAAATATCTTTTTCATAGACTTATTGACTGAATACATGAATCTTGCATTCTAATAAGCAAACAAACAAACTAGTTAGGTAATTTCAGAAGGGATCAGTGTTATGAAGAAACTAGAACAGGGTAGTAGATAAGACTTATGGGAATGAGAGGACTACTTTAGATGGGATGGTGAGGGAGGGCTTTTCTGAAGAGGTGACATTTGAGTGGACATCTGAGGAATAAGAAGGAGGTAGTCATGGGAAGATACAAAGGCCTTAGTAGTAGGAAAAAGATTAGCATGTATGTTTAAGAGACAGAAAAAAAGGCCAGAGGGGCTGGAACAGAGTGAGCCATGAGGGGGTAATGATCAACGAGATGAGGTGGGAATGTAGACAGGGGGTAGGTGAAACTTGTATATCAGGATAAGGAATGAATTTCTACTCTAAGTACAATTCAAAGCCCTTGGAGTGTTGGCATGAGTTGGAATTAACTTGATGGAAACAGGGCTTTTTTTTGGAAGGTGTTTGTTTATATTTTATAAATATGATTTATATTTGGAAAAACTCAGGCTTTTTTTTTCTGGAGGGAGGATTATAGGCTACAAGGGAAAGCAGGGAAATCAATAAAGAGCCGGATCTGACTCATAGCGACCTCCTTTTGGGTTTCTGAGGTGGTATCACTACAAAAGTAGATTGCTCAACCTTCCTTCCGAGGAGTGGATGGTGGAGTTGAACCGCCAGCCTATGGTTAGCAGTCAAATGCCTTAGGCACTACGCCACCAGAGCTCCCAGATAAGAGAGGACAGTGACTTGAGTTGGGAGGTAGAAATGAAGAGGAGTAGACAGATGGCATGGTCAGGAGGAGATGGAGCCAGCAGCCTTGATGATGGATGGGATGAGGAGATTTGAAGAATGGAGATAATCAAGGATGATTCCAGGGGCAAGTGGTGTTCCATTTCCCAAAATGGAGTTAACCAGGAAAGGAGCACATTTTGAGGAAATCAAGAGTATTTAGGGAACATTTCATAATCTCTTCAGGCTGACAACCAGTGGACAAGATCTCCCCAGCTCTGGAGCCTTTGCTTCTCAGAAAGACACAGCAGCTGGCATAAGATGAGCCCAAACTAGGCTCTCACTCTAGAGATGGCTTGTCTTATTTGTAGATTTAACTGGGGTCTCCTGACTGTGTGTGGGAGACTCCAAGGGACTTTGTGTAGCCAAGCAAGAAAATTAGAAATCAGACTTTAAACTGTCATTTACTCAAAGAGCAAAAATAAATTCTTAATTAGCCTCTTCTGGCTGCATATTAATTACAGTTGCATTTAGATGGCTTCTTCCTAAATGCAGTGTGGTGGTGGGGTGGTTGGGATGGAAAAAAGAGAAGGAAGTGGAAAGAAAAAACTACCATGTGTCATGTACTTTACAGGCATTTCCCCTACAAAGCCTCTTTTTCACCCTTCCAACAACCCCATGACTAGGTACTACTAGCCTCATTTTACACATAAAGAAATTGAGTCTCAGTGAGGCGTGGTGACTTGTCCAAGGTCTTACAGTTTTGCTAAAAGGGCAGGGAGGCGGCATCTCCTGACCTCTAACTACACAAGATGAAGACAGAAATCACCATCAGCAGCCCAAGGCCTGTTCCTATGAGGCCAGACATGCTGCCACCACCACCCTTCATCCTTCTTACCAACTTTAACACTGACTATCTCTCTCGCAGCACCCACTACCTCTCTGCTGGGTTCGATAATTTGTTTCAGTGACCACATAGAACTAACAGATTATGGAGTTTGTTAGGGAAGCAAGAAGCTACAGTTCAAGTTCAGGAACATGCTCAGTCTCTCTTAGCTGGCAGTCTCTCTCACCCAGCTGTCTCTCTCAGTCCCTGTCTTGGCAACATGTCTCTCTAAGTAGCATGTCTCTCTCAGTTGATAGTCAGAGATATTCTTTTCTGCCTCTAGGAGGGCTCATTTTGAGCCTGGCAGAATAGCAAAACCAACCAATCCAAACACCAGAGTTCTATACACCTGAGAGAAAGAGCAAACTTCCCCAGAAGATTACTTTGTGCTGCCCCAGGTGGGTGACTTTAACAAGCAGTTACTTAGTTGCTCATGGCAAAGTGGAGTTATGAAGACTATGGGTAGAAAAGCCATAGCATGTAATTTACTACACTGCAGGCTACTCTGTAGCTTTTCTGGCCATTATCCCGTTTATGCTTCAAAATTAACATCCCCTTCACCATCAGTTTAAGAATAACCACACCCATGAAAACGTGTAAGCAAGCCAATTCATGCCTTTATCTCCCTCCATTTTAGATAGCCAATTTCTAATTTGCCCATCCCTATCAAACCAGTACTCTGAGGTGACAACCATGTTCCTTTCTCTCTGAAGAATCTTCTGCTCTGCTTGGAACTTTGGGCATCTGCATCCATAAATAAGCAAAGTCCAGCCTAGTGCAAGCTATCAAATTACAGCAACTTAACACCGTCTCAGTGTCAAACATATTCCTCTTCATTGAGTCAGGTTCTGGTCAGCTCAGCCCTAGCCATCTCATATATGTAATGGGTACCAGCTGCCAAGTTTTGGTAGTCACACTCTTCCTTTTACTTCAGAACAGCCAACACCTTCTCTCTCTCATCCTTAGTCCTCAGGGACTAGTTCCACACAACTCCTTACAAATTTATAAGTAGCAGAATCAGGATCTCTTTTGACTCTGGAGCCTCCTGCTTTGTTTTGCCCTCTCTGTCATGTGCCTAAGGCACTTGACGGCTAACCAGAAGTCTGGCGGTTCAAATCCACCAGCCACTCCTTGGAAGGAAGATGGGGCAATCTATTTCCATAGTGATACTGCCTCGGAAACCCAAGAAGGGGTCGCTATGAGCAGGGTCCGACTCGACGGCACATAACAACAACATCATGTGCAAATGGGAGCTCTGGTAGTGTAGTACCTAAGGCATTTGACTGCTAACTAGAATGCTGGAGGTTCAAACCCATCAACCACTCCTTGGAAGGAAGGTTGGGTGATCTACTTCCGTAATGATACCACCTGGGAAACCCAAGGAGGGGTCATTAAGAGTTGGGTCCGGACCTGGCAGTTGCGGCCTCTGGGCCGGGCATGGAGCTGGCTCCTCTGCGCGTTCTCGGCCTCCGAGCGGGCTTGGTGCTCAGTGGCGTGGCCTCTGTCGAGTCTGCAGGAGCGGCAGCGGTGGGAGCAGGCCGGCGAGGAGGAGGGTGGACGCTTGGCAGGACCCGCAGTTTCAGCAGAGCCGCAGCAGCCATGGCCCCGATCAAGGTGGGAGATGCCCTGCCGTCGGTGGTGGTGTTTGAAAAGGAGCCTGGGAACAAGGTGAACCTGGCAGAGCTGTACAAGGGCAAGAAGGGTGTGCTGTTCGGAGTTCCCGGGGCCTTTCCTCCAGGCTGTTCCAAGACCCACCTGCCAGGGTTTGTGGAACAGGCCGGGGCTCTCAAGGCCAAGGGAGCCGAGGTGGTGGCGTGTTTGAGTGTCAACGACGTCTTTGTGGCCGGAGAATGGGGAAGAGTCCACCACGCAGAAGGGAAGGTTCGGCTCCTGGCTGACCCCACTGGGGCCTTTGGGAAGGAGACCGATTTGTTGTTAGATGATTCATTGGTGCCGCTCTTTGGGAATCGCAGGCTCAAGAGGTTCTCCATGGTGATAGATGATGGCGTGGTGAAGGCCTTGAATGTGGAACCAGATGGCACAGGCCTCACCTGTAGCCTGGCCCCCAACATCCTGTCGCAGCTCTGAGGCCCCGGGCCTAGACTCCATCCTCCTACCCACTCCTTGTCTTACCTGCCCAGCCCAGCCCTGTCCAGGAGGCCCTGTCTCCCCCTCAGTGGGGTCACCCAGTTGGCCATATTTTTACAATAAACACTTGTGATTCATGGCCACATCCTTGTTTCTGAATCGCTGTTGCACTGGGGCCC